GTGCCACGTGTACCATCGATGGTACACGCTTGCATGTTTACTTAGTGAACTGAAGAAATTGTTTACAAGAAATTTAGAACCGAAGAATCAATTTCCACCGCAAGAATGAGCGTTGATAAGTTTTTGTTACGTTGTTATGTGTACGAGAATTAATAATTGCACGTAATACATCAAGTTTTAGTAAAATATCAAAGTGTGAAGATTCGAGTAAAAAAAGCTCGGCACGGAACGTGTTAATTACGATTATACACTTTTTACTTTGCACACTTTTTTCAAACGATGATTTATATTGTGTTACTTATACAATTTTTATTAAATAATTAATAATTAATTAATTACGATTACACACTTTTTACTTTGCACACTTTTTTATACACACGATTATATACTTTCACTATACACTTTTTATTAAATAATTAATAATTAATTAATCACGATTACGAATATTCAAAACGCAGGCGATAAAATTTCGTCTTAAAAGAGCAATTGATCTTTACATACACAAATAGCAACCGGCTCTTTAATCATTTTCGAGAGTTAAAAAATGTGAAGGCATTTTGAAACGTGTGTAAAGATACTAAGTAACATTCTTATTTCATTCGATCCTTTTCACCGATGAAAGGAACTCACCGTGCACTCGGCTCGAACGAAACGAATAATCGTGAAAGCAAGGTGCAACCGATGTCTTTCCACAGTCGTTCGAATGACTCTGAGAGCCGCCGTACGTCGGAGCGAATCAATTCAACACAGAAGCGAGTTCAATCAGTCGCAAGAGTGCCGATGCAGCGGGACAAGCTCGATTTCTTCCGGGCGCATGAGTCGGCACTTTTCTAATTATCAGCCAGGCTCGAGGAGGGGGGAAACTTCGGTTTCCTAATATTTACTGCTCTAATGATTCTTGCCGCAAGTAGCTGGGAAGCGTTATGGACCGACCGACAAGAATCGTTGGGCCAAAGTCTGTGTGTGTGTGTGTGTGTGTGTACAGACTCTAAAGACAGATATCTACATGGGGTGTAGTAGTGGTGCTAATGTCATTGGGGCTAACTTCGGGTTCAAACTTTGCGCCAGGTTGCCGGGGATGTTGACTTAGTTTGGAAAGTTCCTCTCGCGTGATTGCTTGGTCAACATTTGACGTTTTATCTTTTTCCCGGGGACGTAATAAGACCATCAGAGACAACAGCCAACTTTGGATAACCGAAGCAGGAGTCCTTAAACTTGGAGAATTAATTATGTTGCGGGAAGACGGGAGGACAGCCATCAAAAATGATCTTCCTCGGCGATGGGAGTCGAGAAATTGTCGGGGGATACGTTTCTGTGTGCTCAGTAACAACCAACAATGGATAAACGAAATGAATAATCGCAGTAAAATGTCTGCAACCTTTGGGATTAATTGTAATTAACAAAATCATTTCGAAACGTCTTCCGAACATGATTCTTTTTTACTTCTCTTGGCAAAAACGTTCCTATGTCAATCAATAATAAATAATTAAAACGTATAATTTGAAGTCTAATATCTCTGCAATTTTGGGAATATGATAATGGTTGACGAACAAATTTAAAAACGTCTGCTAAATATGATCTTTTTTATTTCTCTTAGTAAAAATACGAGCGAAAATGATTTATAGTCAGGTTCTAGTATGTTAACCTTCAACCAGCAATGAATAATGTTACAAATTTAGAAGCGTTTTGCAAATATACTTTTTCTTATTTCTTTTAGTAAAAGGATGCACAAAAATCGTCACTAAACAAGTTGTCAACTGACAATGAATAATGAAACAAATAGTCGCAGCGTAACGTTTAGAATCTTGCAAAATAAATTAGGATTGACAAAATAATTTAAGAACATTTTTCCAATATAATTTATCATTAGACACGTTTCAAACTGCTAATTACCAGTCAACATCGAATAGTTGAAGGAAGCAACTGCAGTCTATATATAACGTCTGCAAACTTGAGAACTCAATTATAGTTGGAAAAAAATTCGGGGAAAGTCCTCGAAAGATGATTTCTCTTATTTCTCTTGGTGAAGAGACTTGAAAAAAAAAGATTATCCGCGAACACGTTCCAGCTGGGATCCTTCTTCCAACCCATTTCAAAATTCGTATTACGAACACTCATCCGAGAATTATCAAGTTGATGCAAATGAAGCGCCGTTTTTCCGCCGTTTGGAACTCATTAAAACTTCCAGCTTCCGCTAAGCCGATAAAAAATTATTCTTCAAGCGGATGCTAAAAAGCGAAGCAGAGAGGATTCTAATTATACGTGGCTCTCGAATGCTATTCAAACCCGATTGAAATAAAGAAATTTCATCTAGGACCGTCTGGGAGAACCGTCGAGTTAACCCTTCGTTAGCATCGTTTATGTTCTCCGGTACACTAACGCGTTTAGTACATTTTCATCTAGCACAATCGATACAGATGATTTGCTTGAAATATTGTCCTTGCTTTCCGTACATAATTTTCAGTATGATATCGAAGTTAAGTAATCAAAACTACCATAAATCTTCTCGAAAATTCAGCTCACGATTTTAAAGATTATCGTAACAATCGGATCCATTATTTCTATTTTCTTTGTTTCTTATTATACACTTTGCTACTATTAACCCTTTGCACCCGAAGCTATTTCAGCTCCGTGACGCAGACATTTTCACCGACCAAATATTTTCATTCTATGTCACTATTTCGTTCACGCGAAATCAAGTGCATTTACTTATACCACATTCAAGTTTCTAGCTATTTAATAAATACAGGTAGATTTAGGAATGTAAACATTGTTGTGATTGTATGTGATAGTATGACAATTTTTAACGGCACCTCATACACACCACTAGATCCCAAAGAGTTTATTTTTGTCTACAGGAATAATAGCATAAATGAGGTCTAAATGAATGAAACACAGTTCGTTCGTTCGATACGTAAAAATCAGAAACGCGCGAGGCAACTTCTCTCATTTGTGCCGTATATGGAACAATTGCATTATAGCGCAACACGGTCGCGGATTATTTCCTAGAACAGGAAACTGTTGAATCCTCGCGCAAGGAATGTACAAGGATTAATAAAACGCGTGTCCGGCTTTAGGCGAGTTTCCGGTGGCAATTTCCATATCTGCCGTCGAGAGTGGACTCGCTTTTTAAATCTAGGGGAAAAAGCAACACGGAACAAAGCGAGACCGAGAGGTCCAATCTAACGAGCGTTCAGAAAACTAGAGTACGCGATTAAAAGATCCATAGAGCGCTTCTATCGCGGCCGGATATATCCGGCGGCGGCGGCATAAATATATGCGTGTACGTGCGTTACAAAACGGTCTTTGTCATTTCGCGGCGTGTGGTGGTGTTCATTTTAATCGGCTCCTTTCAGCGCGATTCGAGTATACTTTCTCCGCGCGGGTACATCGAGTCGTTCAATACCATTGATTCGTTTCAACGGTGCTCCTCATTGTTTCATAAATCATTCGACGTGTACCGTTTTAATGGAGTCAGAAAACGGGGTGGAGAGATCGGCCATTTCATACGGTGACTCTGATGTGTTCGCTATTAAAACCGGGGATTATCGAGGACTCTGTCCGTGGACGTACACGGCGGGGGTTGTGTATCGGGGCGGAAACAGCCCTGGTCGAAATTATTCTTTGCTTATTAATTGCATATTCGTCGGAGGGTCCTGAAATGCTATGTGTGGCCCATCCTATTATACGGCATGGGCATTAAAAACCACAATGCTGAACAAACTGGAAGCATTTGAAATGTGGCGCTACCGCAGGATCCTGAAGATATCGTGGGTCTCGCACACTTCTAACGAGGACGTTCTTAGGACGATGAATACAGACCGACTACTCATAAATATAATAAAAAGGAGGAAGACAGAATACTTCGGTCACATAGTTAGAGGACCTAAATACCATCTACTTCGCCTTATGATACAAGGAAAAGTGGAAGGAAAAAGATGGATAGGCCGAAAGAAACTTTCATGGCTGCGCAACATCAGGCAGTGGTGTGACTGCACAGTAGGGGTGCTGTTTCGCG